GATGACGCAGACAGTAGAGAGTTAACTCGTTGACCTTGAAGCGAAACTAGTCCCGGTGACTATACAGCAGGAAATATTTGCGATCTAGGCCCTTTTTTTTTTAATCGCCTTTCTCAGTTCCATCCCGAAAACGCGAATGGCTTCGCAAGCCACTGAGATATTAGGCCCGTGTTACCCAATTTTTAAGAGGTGGGGGCGGTTTGCCATCAGTTCAGTAGCAGCACACCAGGTGCAAAGCCCCGACTTTAAACCGCCGCGTTTGCGAGCCTGGTCTGAGCGTCCCTGGCATCTCTGAGAAAGAGGATATTTACAAGTCTGCCCGCCTGCTAATGGGTTATTATTTTTAGGGGCTGCTGGTGTCATCGGGTCCCACTGGCCATTTTTGTTTCTGCGTTTAGGCTGAAACGGGTTCGGAATTGTGAGGTTGTCGTTTGTATTTTGACCCCTTCGTTTGGAGCATTGTTAGAGTAATGCTGGAATTAGGGGTGCAAAGCAGCATGCAAACAGGCCATCCGATTTGCATTTACAGGGCCTCCGCAAGGACTGTGAGTCGGGGATTCTCGGTATTCAGATCTAAATACCTACTATTCAGTCAAATTTAGATGTAGACTACTTTTTAAAACTGATCAAGGTCATTTGAAAAGCCCACAATTGTATAGCCTATACTTCAATTTCATTCATAGTCCACCCCCTCAAAAGTACAGTTTATACAACAGAACTGTTAATGTTTCGCAGGTCGTTGGGATGGTTATTGCTAGATATACTAAGAAAAAAATAGAAGTGATGGAATAAATAACTTTAAAAAAAGATTAAGTGTAATCAGAAAACAGATACAACAGTTTTACTCGAAAATAAAATGGACACTTTGCAAATTTGGGATCAAATAATCTTAAACAGAAAACGTTAGCAGGTATTTTAAAGGAAACAACTTCGTGTTATTCAGGATAATTGCAGATCTTTTAAAATACAATGGGTTTTATTTTTGTCATCTGACAACATCCAATATATTTGATCTTTTAAAGACATTTTAAAAAGTTTACCCACAAAAAGCATAACACATTCATAATTGGCTTTGTATTATTTTAATAAAGAAAAGCAAATTATTTAAATGATTAAAAACTGTCACAGCAATTTAAACACCAAAATCACCAAATTTAATCAACACATACTATCGATCCAAAATTTGTCGTTGAAGATTTTTTTTAAACACTGAAAATGCAGATACAAATTGGTTTTACATTAAATTCATGCAAAAGAAATTTCACAGAATAGCAGGTTTTACTTCGTTTCCAGATGCTTTTGCTGATAATAAAAAAAATTGTAGAAACTAATGATTTTTCACAACAATACGGTCACATGATTATACAAAAGACACAGACAAAGCTTTTATTCCTATCTGATCTAAACGTACGAACTTCTGTACAGTCTTTTTTACTTTAAAAGAACTTGCTCCCAGAGATTGAAAAAAGATTAAAAAACTGTATATAAAGGAGGACCTCCCTGCTATTGGAGGCTTTTTTGCTTTTACAGTGAAAAAAAATCCACCAGATGTGGAGCTGAGCGTTCAGGGCAAAAAAAAAGCGCAGACGTTTGTATTTCCTGAGATTCCCGCATGTCAGTAAATGGATGCAGCTTTCGGGCTGTACCTTTCGCAGCCTGTTAACGCCACATTTAAGACTTCTGCTCCAGAAACTGAAACAGGCCGAAATGAGCTGCAAACGTCTGTCAAAAGCTCACACTGAGGCGAGTGTTGGGGTGAAACCTCCCGGTTGCTTGGTGGACCTTTAAGTGCCTTGCATCCCTTACAGTGGCCCAGCTTCTCCTTTTAGACTCGTGCATGATCACATTGCAGGCAATAGTCCAGAAAATATGGAAAAGTCAAGTGTGTGACCGCCCTGTGGTTGCCTGCTTCGACCACAAAAACATATTGGCTGTTATGTTTTGACAGCTCTTTGACAGCTTTCTACTATAAACACGTGTCATCAACAAGACTGGAATTCGACTGCAGGTCCTTAGCAGCCCATTTTATATCTCAATTCCTGTTATTAGGGGTATAAATTTATGGCTGAACATAACTTTATATGGACCTTTCCCTGCTTTACCCAGGCTCCAGGCGCTGAGGCCGTGGAATAAATGCCTTCTTTCTTACTCCGGCTTCGTAATTTGGATGCCAGTACAAACAGGAGGTTGAGACTTGATAATGACCTCAGAGAAAAGCCTTAAAACTGCTCTGCCAAGTGCCAAAGTGAAGTCCAAGGCACTTTTTGGGGATATCTTAAATGGAAGAGGGAGATCCATACAGCATATAAATTCAATTAAATTCGTTTATCCGACATGAAGTATACAGATTAAAAAAAATCCAATCGCCATTCATCCTCATTTCTTCAAACGGCTGAATGAGAAACGACAAGAGCGGTTGCTGGGATCAATGGGCGCGTTACGGAACATCTTTTCGGGCGCGTTGCCCATTATTTAGACCGTCTCTTGTCTGGACTGACCGCTTGGGAACGTCAAGAGGCCGGCATGGCGAGGGCGCAGGGCTGTTGTTACAGGACGGTGACGCACCGAACTGGAGATAGAACACTGACAAACGCGTACCCAGTGCCACTAAGAGCCCATTTTCTCCCTTCTCTCCAGTGTGGCCGAACAAAGCCCAGCTATGTAACAGTTAATGATTAACGCTTACAGTGTTTGTGATGAAGCTTGATTTGCTTGCATTGACGAAAACGCCAAAAGGCAGCGCGCAACAGGCTGGGCCTTGTACCATGACTCATAATTATTGCTGCGTGTTGCTGCTGAGTGAGTTCCTTTCTCTACCTTTCTTGTTTGATAACATGAAGATAAAAGCCCGACTACTGTGCAGCCATAGCTGTAACGACCGTCTCCATATTTTACCTGGTCCTTTAACATATTCAGGCCCGCAGTACAACGTTCAACGGGAACAAAACAATTGTCGTAATTGATATTGTGTCTTTGAAAAAACGTTCACCTTAAGTTTTTGTTTGCATGGTGGATTATTTTTAGTTTAAAACGTACACGTCATCCAATAAGAAACCACGATATACAGAATAAACCTGTTTTTTTAAGTCCAATTCGCCCGTTTATTTAAAATGAATGTGGACTACTAGCGACAAATTATAAAGGACAAAAGTTCCAATTACACGCAGCTCAAGTTTAATTTGATTACAAGTATATGGTATCCAAAACAAAAGCTCAAACGGAGAGCCTCTCGGGTTTGTGTTGCAGCACTTTCTAATTTTGACTGCAACTAAATCAATCTATTAAAGTCCATCGCTATTTGCTTCGCTTTCTAAAGCATCAAATCCTCCAAAACACACACAGCTGGTGTTCAGAATATCTCTGCTGAAGGCTTTTAGTGTTTACATTTGATCAATATATTTAGTTTGAGACTATCTGAGATGTTCTAGGTTGTTTGGCGTTTTACTTGTGTTCAACTTTCTCATATACAACTGAATTTATTTAACTCTTTTCTTTTTAGATATGTGAGATATACCAACATGTGCTTTTATTATTTTGAGATGTTTTTCTCGTCTTGGTAACAAACTAATATGGGCACAAGTTGGCCTCGATTTATGTTGCATTATGAAGCTGTACGCAAATTCGGTGAAAGTTCCACCACGTTTATTTTCTCTCAGTGGAATAAACTTACAGCCTCTGGTCATTCCCCCTCCCCGCCACCCGCCACCTCAACACACACACACACAGACATACACACACACACACAAACAAAGACAATTGCCCTCTCGCCCCCTGTCTCTCTCTCTCTCCCTCCACACGCGCACACACCACACCTCTATTCCTTCCCTTCTTTTTCAGGGATCAAAATCCTTTTTCGCACATGTCTGCTAAAACCTCCTCAACAACAACAACAACAAAAAAAGGAATGTATACACAAAACAGCACTCGGTTTAGCTTTGCAACACTGGGAGAAAAAGTCAACGCAGTAGCCAGTCCAGGCAGTCTCAGACGAGCTGGTGAGAGAAAACGGTGGAGAAAACAAGATGACAGTAAAACTTAATGTCCTCCAATAGCTTTCATTGGGACAGGAATTCTCACCCTCCTTCCGCTCTTTTCAAGAGCTCAGACGGGCCCTTCAACGCTTGAATAGTCTGACGGGCTGGATGGCTAGACAACAACTTTCAACTTGACCTTGGCCTCCAGCCGCGTCGTCGTCCTATGTAAAATCCTGCCAGGTCCAGAGCTGTTTTTTGACTTTGCATATTGTAAACAGCTCGGAAGTAGGGTGTGTGGAGGATTACCATTAAAACGCAGTCTCATATCAGATTTTGGGTAATTTGTTTGACCCTTTTTTACTCACATGAAGCTTGTGAAGGGAGACTCCGTTTGCAGCATGCTTTCTCTTGATTTATACTTTATTTAGATTCAATAAACCCTGTGTGTTCTGCTGCTTTTCCACAGTAGTCTCACGTTTTAGAGAATAACACTCGGACAAGGACGGTGAAGACGCTATCTCACCATCTACTTGGCGTATGAAAAAATAGGTGTAATTGCATAACGATTGTGTACAGTCCTTAAATACTAAATACTTTATATTTGTATTTTCATTAATAGAAACTCCTTTTGTATATTTTCATGTGATAGTACCCAGTCCATTCAGCAGAGCAGACAAAGGACGTCGCTTTTCGTGCGTAAAGGCCACAGACTATGAAGAGTACTCGTTTGTTACTGGTTAAATTAGAGTAGATTTTTAAAATAATGACTAATTTCCTATAAAAACAGTGTTCAGTCTAAGTATTTAAAGTTACAACTAGCAATTAAAACAAATCTAAATGTTGAAATATATTGGAGAATGCATACAAACTTTGTTCCATGCGTTTGTTAGGTATCAAAAATTAAAATTCGCCATCCAATAAGATAGAATTTAGATAAAAATCAGACCTTAGATTCATTGATAGGAACCATCACCTTATTTCGCCGCATTTTTCTCCATTTAATTATCTGCTGATGTTTACCGTCCTCTTTGCATAGCCTGGTCACATGACGATGTCTGAACCAATAACATTGCAACCCCCTTGCGCTCTTGTGCGCGTCAGAGTGGCTTGACTCCCTGAGAAGCAGTATCTTCTGTTTTCAGTCTCTGGGCTTTTTAAAAAAGAGGCAGAAGCTTCAATGTTGGATGCCGTGCTATGACAACGTCACTGCTCCTCCGTCCTCGCTGGGTCGACCCGTCGGTGATGTTCCTCTACGACAACGGCGGCGGTTCCGATGAAGTGAGCAAGAACATGGAGGGTTTCGCTGGTGGCAACTTTGCTGCGAACCAATGCAGGAATTTGATGGCGCACCCCGCGTCCCTGGCACCCAGCACGGCGTACTCCTCCAGCGACATGCCCGCCTCCGGTATGGGCGAGCCGGTCAAACAGTGCAGCCCGTGCTCAGCCGCTCAGAATTCATCCAGCGCGTCCCTGCCTTACGGGTACTTCGGTTACCCGTGCAGAATGTCGCATCACAGCACCATTAAATCGTGCGGAGCGCAGCCCCCCTCCGCGTACGGGGAGAAATACATGGACACGTCTGCCTCGGCCGACGAATTCACGTCCCGGGCGAAGGAATTTGCTTTTTATCCAACTTATCCGTCGGGCCCATACCAACCTGTTCCCAGTTACCTGGACGTCCCCGTCGTGCCGACGATCAGTGCGCCATCAGAGGCCAGGCACGAGTCGCTGCTGCCCATGGAGAGCTATCAACCGTGGACTCTCGCTCCAAACGGCTGGAACAGCCAGGTTTACTGCGCCAAGGAGCAACCCCAGCCTGGACACATGTGGAAATCCTCCATACCAGGTAGGCCAACTTATCCCCAAATACCGCCTTCACATGGAATGTTTGACTTGGTTTTTTGTGTTAACGTACAGCCGCAGTGAGTGTGATATTACATGATGCTTTCCTACTTTCAAATAAGGCATTTTGATTTGACAAATAATCGTTCGAAACCGTAAAAAGCGCCAAAGGCACACATTCTCCCGTTTTTCACTTTTTAGAAAATGAAAATAGCTTCCAATGATTTAGTTTCTCATCTGTTAATTTTTTGGGAATTTCACAATTAATAACCCAAGTAAGTCAGATAATGTTTGATTCTATCTGAAAAGGATGAGAAAGATGCCACCCCTTATGCCTCTTTTTTTCCAGTAAAATAAAAAATATGGAAGGGAACACAATACTATACAACATCTACAGAAGTAGACTCTGACATCTTTTTAAATGTATTATCTGTCCTTGTCAGACGCAGCTTCCCACACTGGAGACTCCGGCTCTTATCGTCGTGGGAGAAAGAAGCGCGTGCCATACACCAAGGTGCAACTGAAGGAACTCGAGCGCGAGTACGCCGCCAATAAATTTATCACGAAGGACAAAAGGAGGAGGATATCCGCTCAGACCAACCTGTCCGAGAGGCAGGTCACTATATGGTTTCAAAACCGACGCGTAAAGGAGAAGAAAATCGTCAACAAATTGAAAACGATCAGCTAGTTCATTTTTATAATGTGGACTAATTCAGTGCGACTTAGACAGGCGCTTATGGACACATGGAACGGGACAACGAGCTCTATACAGACTGATCATGATTTAAATGTGTGCAGGCAGATTTTTCGGAGCCTCTGGAACAAACCTTCCGGGGCCTGTGTAGGCCGGACCCTCCATTTCCTGCCACTTGTTGTTCAATATTGTTTAAGTTCTCAAGTGGAAAAGAAGACAAAACATACAGTACCCTGTATCTGCCCCTATCCACCTTCTTTTTTCTTATTTCTTTGGAGGGGGGATGCTCGGTATCAGACCAGGATAAGTGACCCCATCTCAGAGAGGCGTGCGCCACTGAGCTACACCTTTATCTTTAACTTAAGCGATAAGTGAAAGGTTCACAAAAGACGCCGTAATTTTTTTGGACCTTGGAATGTTAAATATTAATCAACCCTCGACTCCTTTTTTTTTTTTTTTAAACCTGTCACGTGCTTAGCTTGTATGAAGTGTAGTCTTATCATGTGAATCTGTGCTCTCATTCACATCCAGTCCATGGTGCAATTCTTATTGTAATGCTTAGATAATCGTCCAAGACACGTGTTCATATCTCATCAATCGTAGCTTTTATAATGCGTGTGTATTCATGTGGTTGTATATAAGTATATATATATAAATATAAATATAAAAGTAAATTCCGGCATGATATCCCTGTTGTGTGCGAGTCCAATGTTTTAAGTTCGTTCCAATAAAACAGGGACTTGGTTGAATTTGATCCAAGTCATGATGAAGAAACGTCTTTTTCACAGATTCATGTAGTTATTTATTTATGTGTATCTTACTTTAAACTCGATGTATTTATCCAACCTGGTGCATGAAGAAGCACCTTCTCTTGTGTTACGCATGAATTGAAAATATAGGAAATGCACTCGTCTCATGTGGAGTATTCAGGGTTCCAAACTAGTGACTTAACTGAACCTTTTTTAACCAAAAACCTTCAAATAAGTTGTATCTAAAACAATATGTAAGCGATATATGGCTAAACACCCTTTATGCCGGATAAAAGGGAATGAGTGGAGGGGGCTTTGTGTTCAAATATGGGCTGACATCGCCATCTAGCGACCGCTTTGTGTCACTCTCTTTTGGATTGTTAGAGGTCACAGCCAATTTCAAGGCTAGAAATGTACTACATAATAATCATAAATGAACCCTTTAGTGTTAAAAAAGTATTTGATCCTGACAAAGACAAGTGAAGTGCACACATGCATTTTTAAATGTATTCAAATCTAATTTATTTAGAATAGAAAACCCACAAATACAATTATATAAAGTAAAGCACTTCTTTTGGTTCTCCACAGTGACTGTAACAACCAGTAAAACTGTTTACATTTTAAGACCGAGAGGAAACCCCTGTTTAAACGGCGTTGTTCCGTTTTAAAACAAAACAAAGACGCAGATGACAAACAAGGTTCCATCTATTAAACTGTGCAGGCCATTGGTTCTGTTTAGTATAATCATTTACGCGCTTCGTGGTTCGCTTCTGTGTTTCGATTCTGTCAATTTGACACTGGTGATAAATCGAATTATCGCTCTAATGTCTCATATCTTAGAAAGAAAATGCTGTGCGAATTTATAAAACATGAGTAGCGTGACCCAAAAAAAATCTGCGGCATATTGTGAGTTACCAGTGAAGAAGATTGTTTGTTACGCAGAAATATCCAAGTACATTTCAAAACGCATATGTGCATTTTAATGCGCAAAGTTTGGATTGATTATACTATGAGTGTTTCTTCAATTTCGAGGTGGGGTTTAAGTTTCACCTGAACAGAATTCACTACGTACACGGAGGTATACGCCTAAATGAAGACTCTCCTTCGGTTCAGCTTTTGGGCTCAGCGTGTGAGAAGAATTTGGCCACATTTTCTGTAAAAACCATCGAAAAGATAATTATTTTAAAACATCTATTTTTTTCAGGGTGAAAGGGAATATTCCACGTGTCTATTTGTCTATATGAGAGTATGAGAGATATTCTTCAATTGAACTAGATTCGAATGAAACCAAATTTGTGCTCGTTGGGATTGGGATGCTTTTCATCATGTAAATCTAAGTGTGTGTATACTATATATATATATATATATACACACACACTTACAATTGGTAATAGATGTGTGTGTGTTTGTTTGCCCTATATATACATTAAAACCATTGGAAATGATTATATATATATATGTACACACACACTTACATTTGGTAAGAGATGTGTGTGTGTTTGTTTGCCCTATATATATATTAAAACCATTGGAAATGATTGTTGTACCCTGTATGATAATTACAATAAGAATAAGAGTAGAACTAATGACAGTGTTACTACTTTACAGTGAGTGGTCATTTGAGTAATGCCATTAGAAAATGTGTGTGTTCTCACTGACGAACAGCCCTGCTGAAACACAGTGCACTATGTTATATATATATATTACTTTTTATCTTAACCTTTCCATGTGTGTAGTTAAGATATTCAGCTCTCAACCGTTTTCTTCTTCGTTTTGCCTCTCCCATTTCCCCACTAGAGAAACTGCTTCTCTATAAACAGCCCACATAGCAAAAAGGCGTTAAGACCCTTCTCCCTCATGCATGGGTAAGTACTTTTAAACGAACATTTTGCTCAGATATTTTGGGCTTGTGACGTGCACGTGGCCGTGTAAATCTCCGCCAGCACGTGAGAAATCGCCGCCGGGCCCCCACGTTGTCTGACGTCGAAACTACGAGGCGCGCACGTGTTAAATTGAGCGCATAGAGAGGAGAGGGCCGGTGAATGCTCGGGTCCAAGGGAGGGAGAGAGAGAGGGAGAGAGACATTAGGGATACGGAGCGGAAGGACCGTGTGGAAGTGACGCTTTCCCAAGCAGGGATCTCATTGGCTACGAGGCGTAAAAGCGACGTCCTATTGGTTTAAATGGAACCAAAACAAGCCTTCCCGGTCCCGCCTACATCCTGAACTGTGTGGGTCTGGAGCTCTGGGCTCGACGCTCCGCCTGCGCCACCCTCCTCACAAGACTCCGTTTGATTGGACAAATGGTGATAGGACTACACACAGGGCTTGGAGCAGAGCTTTATTCAATAATTGAATTTTGCTGCCACACTAAGGATGAAATGGGGATTACCGTAGCCCAGATCTCTGATTTTAGGACAAAGAAAGCAAAACAAAACAATAGGTTGATACTCGTATGTCCTTGTTCATGACATAGATAACTGACAACATTTAAGTCTGAAGGTAAAATAAGGCCTTTAAAGGCATCACAAGGGACTGTTATCTTCTACCCATCAGAGAAAAAAACATCTGCCTTAATAGAGGACTATACAAGTCAAAAAGGGTCTCTTTTTTCTGTTTTTCTTTATTCTTTTAACTCTCTATTTCGCCCCAATCAGAAATCATTGTACTAAAGCACATATCAAACGGACTCTCCTAAGATGATAATGCAGGGTGGCTTTAATCCAAGTAGAAGCTCCGTATTGACTAAACGGATCAGTGCGCGGGGCTGATCTCCACGTCTCCACTAAGCAGGGCCGTTTGTCTCTCGGCTTCCTGTCACGAGAGGCTGATCTCGGCCATGGGCCGGCGCTGCTCTTTACATTGACCTTCGCCGTCCGTGGGTTTGCGACGAGGCCCGCAGCCTTCAGTCATTCGACGACGGCTGACGCTGGTCGAGCTGGAAAGCACGATCTCTGGGATAATCTCGTAATGCACCGCAGTATGACCTCGGCAGACATAACTTTATCCAAGACAGCGACCAAGCGGTCAAAAAGCACTTGACCGAGATTACCGGAAAGCCTCCCACATGTCCCAGTCAGTGCCTGATTCATCTACAGACGAGCTTTTCCTAACTCCTGTTACCACGCAAATATAACTTAGTACAGGAACACCAAATAATTTACTGTGCTCCTTTATAAAGGCTGGATGTGCTTTTAAAAGGCCCACGTCGTGCGTTGGAATGAAATCTGGTTGTTTGCATTCATTGTTTCAGTTTATTTCTAAATTACGCCAAGGAATCCATTTTTGTTTAGAAGACTGGGGTCAAAGTTGCGTTTTGCTTGATGTGAGTTGACCTTGGCTCGTTGGCTAAATCTTTAACTTGTGCGTCGAAAGGTGGTCACAGAAAAAGCCACGTGGAAACGGTTCGTGCGCAATGCGGATTTATTCTTTTTCATTAAAAAATAGGAAAATCCTTGGATTTACCAGTAAAAGTCAGGATGATTTTTGTGTTAATTTCCAAAAGACAGACAGCCAACTTGATTTTCTTGTGCCTGGTTCCACATTAAACCTCAAAGCAATAACAATAATACAAAACTGCTCTTGGAAGGTGGACGCGTAAAAGTCGAGAGCCAATGCTGAATTTAAGTTTGATTATCATTTAGAGGGAATGAGATGGAAAATACCAGTCAGAATATGAATCCCATGATTTTGTTTTTTACGTTTATGCACTATGTGACGCCGTTTACTATTTACTATGTCCGAAGCCATTTGGTCAAAAGAAAAACAAAGAAGACGAAAAAATCTATTTCGTAGCGTTTCAAACGTGACTCAAGACTGCTTTGAGTTAGTTTTTTTTTTGTTTTTTTTTAACAGTAAAATAGGATTAAACCCCCCGTTCATGCCTACTCTTTCTGAGTATTTACTTGATTTGACCTATTAAGGCTCACAATTAAAAGAAATATACATAAACCAAAGACGATTTACGGCCTAATGGATCTATTACCTAAGATCTACATATCTACATCTATATATATATCTTTTTATATATATTAAACATTTGATGCTAATAAAGTCTCTTTTGTTCTACTTATTTCTAAAGTGATCAAGAGGGAAACAAATGTCCATTTTGTGCACAGTGAGTACCTTTTTCAGGCTAAGTTGAAGCTTTAACTGCGGACGTATTCTCATTATGTCTTTGTGTAAATGTCCATTTATTCCCCTTCTGAAACCTAGTTTATGTTCTTTTGCCCAGGCACCTTGTCACGGCCTCAGACAAACGCAGCAGTGTTCCTCTCCCCTGCTTAGCCAGAGGTGCTCCCCGTTGACCGTGGAGTTGATCGGTTTCCCTGTGTGGTCCGGCTGCAGCCGCCCGGCCTCCCCTCTGTCGTCGCCATCGCCGTCGGCTCACATTTCTGTCACCTGTGGATAAATCAGCATGTTGGTCGCCGAATCAGGTTGGAATTTATTGATATATTAGAGCTGGTTCATTTAGGACGCGGAGTGCGGCGCTCTGATTGTTTCAAGTTTCGGTCTGATGGTTTTATAATCGCCAGCAACACTGTAACGACTCAGCCAAGGCTGTGTCAACATATGTAATTACAATTCAAGTTCAACAACATTTAATTTTTATTTATTTTATATATGTATATATATATACTTATATATATATGTATGTGTATATATATGAGATACTTTAACGTTTTTTTATTAACTTTGGGAGAAAGACTCTCGTTAGCTTTGTTTTGCAGTCATTTGTCTAAGCGTTGCAACTCAACATTAAACTAGGTGTAATTTGTTGTTTGTTTGTTTTTAAAATCGTGCTTTCGAGAATGAATAACAATATATTAGCTCACATTTAGCATTTAGTCTCCCTTCGCTGTCAGACAGCTTTTGTTCTCACATTTTGTTCCCTATTCGCCACACCATACGAGCGTCAGCGTTTCCATCTTTGGATTAAGAATGTAGTGAAAAGAGGCTTTGATTCGCAGGTGTGGTGGCCCATTTTTCTACCGTAAAATGAAAACAAAATTAGGCTGTGGTAAGGCTCTGGACTTTTTTTTTTCATTACATTCAGGGACCAAAACCACAGGAGATGTCTTTGCTTTGAGACTGAAAGCGCCTATTTAGCCTCATTTACAGCTTTTAGGCCTACCTGGCATGGCCTTAAACTGTACTTCCAGATCCTCCCCACACTTGATTGTTGACTTGTTGTCTGTCGGACTTTTATGGCGCGAGGAATGGGCAATCTTTGTGTTGGCCTCTCCTTTTAGACAAAACCACTGCGCTCAAAGGGTAGCGTTGTTCCAAATTTAAAGTTGTCTCTCAGTTCTTATACTTTTCAACTGACAAATTGATCAAGTAAAAAGGTAAGTCCAGCACGTTTTTTGTTGTTTAGCTCTACGTTAAAGTTGCAGGAAAAGCTTTGAAGGGACAAAGAAAATTTCCATGAGTAAATGCGCTGATTTGCGTATCTTTGTGTGCAATCTAAACTTAATAGCCTCTTGTAGTTAGTTATTACCGACAAAAACTGAAGTAAACGTCAGTTAAGACTGACGGTTACTTCAGACTGCTTTAATTTATTTGCTTACCTTATTTTAGAAAACGCCCAAGTGGGCTATATCGTTTTTTGCAGCGCGTAATTGAACAAACTCATTTTAGTGAGCCATCCAACTAAAACCACTGTTAGCTCTATTTTTTCAGCCTATTAGTTTTTAAGATAAAACCTTAGGATGGCCTACACCTCTGACTTAAGCGATTATTGTGACGGTGAAGTTCACTTCCCCCTTTGCTTAAGATTCAAGGTTCCCACTATCAACCAATCTGGTTACCTTAAGCCACGGGTAGATGCACAGGCAATTAATAGAACTCCATCCGGGGCACGGCGGGCCCTTTGCTCTCTGTGAAAGGACCCTCTCCCTCCCCCGAACTTGAAGTCGACCGTACAGACAAAGCTTTGGCTTTGAGAGTTTTACGCAGCGCCAGACTGTCAGCTCTACTGACCAAAAACAGTCCGTCAATGTTGGCCACGGGTCCCACACAACCACTGTCTTTGAAAAAAACAAAACAAAAATACATGTGCTACCTAGCTTTTGCCTGTCGCTGCTTTTCCTGATCTTTCTTAAATAGTATTTCTAAACAACAAACATAATAATTTATCGCTAACAGAGGCTTAGTGGAAGAAGAAATCTTACCTTAGTGGCGTACAGACAAATTATTCAGCGTTTTATTCTTTTTTCTATTTGTCTAATCTCCAGTCACTGACTTTTAAGTCCGCGTAGGTGGCAACTTCCTATCACGCTTGGCCAGTTTTGTGGTGTCTGTCTGTCTTGGGGGGGAAAGGCGCAGTTGAACACTATAGCAGCTATAAAAACGCAGGTCTGCACAGAGCTGGCTTTGGTTTTCCTGGGCATCCTGTCCTCAATTACAGCTTAAAAGCCTCAGCACAACTCGTAGAATTTGTCTGGATTGACTGAGAGGCGGAGCGTGCGGTCGCAAAAGACGCTCGTTTGTTTGTACCCGAGCAATTTATCCAAATAAAATACCCTATACGCACAATATCAAACGCTGCATTATGTTTTGATACACGTGCAGGGATTTGGTTGTTGCTCGAGCAGTGTTAGACTCTGTGATATTTCAGGGTTGTGTTTCACACATGTCACAGGGAGACCCTTGAATCCACATATGCACGTCAGGCTGTGGGGCCAGACCAGCCGCGGCGATCTTAATACGAGCTCAGGTCTCTCGTTCACAGCACATTAGAGTCAGGTTGCTGCCTCTCTAAAACGGGCTGCATGGTGGCCTCAGAGCACCGGGGAGCGCTGGGGGAATTTGCAGTGTGGCATGTTTAGTAAACCCAAAAGCACTGATGCGTTTCAGTGAGTTTCTGTAGATTTACAGTCTGAGTTTGTATCAACCGGAGAAAATGTTTCCATTGTCCGTTTGTGCCATCAGAATATGTCGGTTAGTCACCTTTTGACTTTGACTGTATAACATTGGACTAATACATTTCCAGATGTAAATGTAAAATGCAGCTTCAGTCATGCTACAGTTCTGAACCACAGTTTGTAAGCAATGCTGATCCCTTTGCTGCGTTCTAATTAGATTTGCGCAAAATCTTAAGGAAAACAACTTTCTCATGGGATAGGAAAAATAAAAACATGTGAATGTTCTGGAAATAGTCATTCAGGCACTCACGATGCATTCTTGTCTAGTTCTGCAATTGGTCTTCTTGCTGAAAAGTGCAGTTTGAATCCATATTTTACCCCAAGTTTTGCGAAATAGCCGTGCGTAAAGTGGACCGGACACGTATATTCTCCATTAAAGCCCTGCCTTTTATTCACACAAGTGTTGACTTGAAGCAAATATAACAATTTAGACCAGTGCATCATAAAAATCTAAGTTTTGTCCCTCACTAAAATCCCGTAATGTCAACATTTGAGCAGACTGTGTAATGATTGCAGACGACGATTTGAATCACCGGTTTAGACATTTTTCACTAACAGAAGGGCCTGGCCATTATTTATTTTCAATAACACAAAGCACGACAGGACTTAAATGTCTAAATTATCCTAAGAAGACAACAATGACTGCGAAAGGGCTTCATAAACACAAACTAGATTAAAGACGAGCTTAATTAGAATATCGATGCTTCCCTATAACACAGTGAATACGAGCGACTGTTTTCCTTATTTATATTATCCTACTTCTCATTTATTTTTCATTTTAAACTGTATGCGTTCGCATTGATATCCACACAAGGATTTTGCCATCTGAAACTTTCGCCGCTGCTTTGAACATGACCCTGATAACCAAATGCCCGGTGAGCCATATGCCATGTTGTAAAACCACCAAATGAAGACATCCTTAAAAGCAAACTTTTAGAAAAATGTCTACAGTTCTGCACAGGGATGCTACTTTAGCTCATGTTGTTGTTTTCTACGGTTTGACAGTATGCGTTTTGCTTAATACATTGCATGCTTAATAGAAAAAAGGCACCTTAAAAAGGTTGAAACAATATAAAAGAAAAGTTTGTTTTATTTATTTGTCCTTTTCCTTTTAGAGTATCTCCCAAAAATGAAGCTGAAGCGCACATTGCATTTTGGAACTTCAACTGTAGTATTTTGACTGTGAATTAAATGTTCATCTTAAAGATTTTTTTTAAGCAGCCACAATCTGGATATAGTTTTTCCTTCTCCTGACTTAGTTGCATGTTAAGGAATCCATTTAAATCCGCCATGGTGATAAACCACCAATGTCAAGCTTCAAGACACACGGCAGTCATGTCTCTCACTCCCACACACTCTTTCTCTTTCCAGAGCATACACGCCCGCAGGCACGCACACGGGCACGCACGAGCGCGCACGCACACACCAGCACGGCTTGAAAATCTGTCAATTTCTGCCGCGTGGTCACGTGTTCTCCTCCTCAGAGGAGTGGATGGAGATGGCTCTCCACGTCAGCTTACGTCTCCAAATTTCTGCCTCGCGAACCTGCTTCAAAGAGGGCGAGAGGCACGGCGCTTCAGAGCCATGTTCAGGGCGGTTATAGAGGAATCCAACCCCAACATAGAGTTCTAGAAGTGGCTCAACTACGATGATGGATTTCGACGAGCGGGTCCCCGTCGGATCGAACATGTATTTACCCAGTTGCACTTATTACGTTTCGGCGGGGGCTGATTTCTCCGGTCTTCCCTCGTTTTTGTCCCAGACCCCGTCCACCCGCCCCATGACATACTCGTACTCCTCTAACCTGCCGCAGGTCCAACCAGTCAGAGAGGTGACATTCAGGGACTACGCTGCCATTGACGCGTCCAGTAAATGGCCGCACCGGGGGAACCTAGCCCAGTGCTACCCCAGCGCGGAGGACATGGTGCACCGGGACTGTCTGTCGGCTCAGAGCGCGGTGGTGGGGGACATGTTCGGGAAAAACAGCCCCGCGGCCGCCGCCGCCGCCTACCACCACCACCACCACCACCACCACCATACGGGCGCTGGCTCCGCCGCCGCCGCCGCCGCCACCAATTTCTACGGCAACGTGGGCCGAAACGGCGTGCTGCCGCAAGCCTTCGACCAGTTTTACGAGACGGCGTACGGCAACGCGTCGGAGAGCTCCTCCACGATTGCCTTCTCAGGGGACAAAACCGCGATCAAGCAGCCCAGCTCGGCGCCGGAGCAAGCACCATCTTGTCCAGACAGCGAAGCGAAGGAGCAGCGGGATGAAACGAGCAGCCCGGAGTTATCTTCCGGCAACAATGAGGAGAAATCCAGCGGCAGCAGTACGTATTAAACTCAGCGCCTCGGTTATGAGAGAAAGTTTGCAATCTTGCGCGCTGCTGTTAAAAATTTTATATGCTGTTTTATAAGCATATAAGGTTTATAGAGGGCCTGTAGAGCCCCCCCACCCCCAACAAAACTTTGTTATAAACTGCAGGGTCACGTGTTTGGAATTGAAATTGGCCGTGAAAGACAGCAGGCTGGTGATTTTTTTTTCTTTTTTCTTTTCTGTAACGCGTTTCCAGAAAGGACCAAGTTATTAGGGACGTGGATTCATACCCAGACCTGCGTTATTCCCTTTTTATTAACGTGCTTGTTTCACGCTTTCTTTGCGTTAAAGGAGCCCTTGCATGTAATGAAGGCAGTGGCTGTTTTTTTTACGTTTAGCACACACGAGCTGTTGTTAAAGCCACCGTAGGGTTTGTGTTACCACTGGTACATTTCCCATATTATGTCCTCATAAAACTTAGATTTTCACGTAAACTGTCCGTGCAGCATGGCCGTATTTTGCCTGAGCTCTTGGTAGCCTCTATTTTCAAAGAAGCTCGCTCTCGTTTGCAGGAAAACGTCAAAGCTCTTGTGTATTCTCTAATGAGCCATCAGCAGCTGGGCTAGTCTTTTCAGAGTGATATAATATCAGTACATATGGCGGTGGAAATGACAGAATAGGAAACATGTTGCTAATGCTTTATGTAGAAGGAAATCCGCTAATGCGTAATATGGATAACATCCAAGGGATATAAATCTTTTTTTTTTTTCAAACTTAGACCAGGGAAATTCTAAATGTTGTTTTATTATTTGACTGGTGTCCTTTTCCTTTTCCTTTTTTTTAACCCTCTAGGTGGACAGAGGACCCGCAAGAAAAGGTGCCCTTATTCCAAATATCAGATCAGAGAACTTGAAAGAGAATTCTTTTTCAGCGTGTACATAAATAAGGAGAAACGGCTGCAACTGTCGCGGATGCTCAACCTCACCGACCGACAAGTAAAGATTTGGTTTCAGAACCGTCGCATGAAGGAGAAGAAACTGAACAGAGACAGATTACAGTATTACACGTCCAATCCCCTGCTTTAGGAACCAGAACCACCCCCGCCACTAGCTCCGGTAGTCCCCTGCTGTGGGGCTGGCTACGTTTACAGACTGGCTGGCTCTCTCCAGTGTACTCTGTGTACCACAATGGCCGCGACAGCAGCAATAATACTGCTCAATGGTTAATTTCAAGTTCGAGGACAACAGCCCGATTATATGAAATACCTTGAACTGCGACCGTCTGTGGACTTGATTTCGCTCCTACATTCTCCAAAAGCAGGATAATGTAGAAACTGTTCTTTGTCCCCCGCTATTAGCGAAGGCCCGAGTTAATATTGTGGATCACAGACGCCTTGCTTTATTTTCGTTCCTGTGGGCAAAAAAAACAAACAAAAAAATTAGCAGTCACAAAATGACTGCTCCAGTGTATTTTGTAATCAAAAGTTATATTTGATTTTCTTTGTCTGTTCAAATCAGAAAAAGTGTTGGATTAGGTAAATATGAGATTTCTAGGCTAATCGAATATTGGTGTGACCAAATAATGAGTCCGTTCGGACGAGAATAATGTGTTTTTGTTTCGTGTGCTTATTTATTTTGTAGCCACTTATTTACTATCTCCTTCAATGCCACGGCTATCCAAGTCACTATTAAAGGCAGGCTGCGTGGAGTCCATGTCGAATGTTGACCTCAAAACCAGCTTCTTGTCGGGTCTCGTGTTGCCTGCGATACATGAGGGCTTTCCAATTACAAATTGCGTGTCTCTCAATACTTAAGTCCCCTTTTGACTCCAGGAGACTTTCCGTGGAGTGTTGATCAAACAGGCCAAAACCAGAGAGATAAGCTTACACCCCGGGTCCGTGTGGAGTTGCACTGGGGTACACTCCCGACTCATTCACACAGGTGTAGCGCCTACACGCAGTGGGCCTCTTCGGTCTGATGTTGATAAGATTCTTTTTCACGATTCGTGCTCCTGGGGTACTCGGGATATACAAAGACAAAAGAGCTACACTATTTGTAGCGTGCTGTCAGGACAGGGCTGGTCAGGGTCATCGCATTGAATCAACTGCTTGATATGTCCAAATTATTGTGTATTATACTATATTTCCAAATAATAATAAAAAAAAACAATTCAAACAATTGCTGAAAACCAAGTTATTACTCTCGTGGTTGCTATTTTGTTTCAAAGTGATTTTCTTTTTCTTTTTTTTCAACGCTGTGTTGACTGGTCAAATACGCGCATGTGAAACATTTTACGCACGCCATCCAAACAAATCAAAGACACGCTGACTGCAAGCCTGTGGCATTTTGGTGCCTTTTGCACGCAGTATATGGTCTAAAAGGGAAAATTTGAAGTCTTAAATGCAAATTAGGGCATCACTCATACTCTGTTAAATTAAAGTGACCTAGTTATATACATTTACATGAATGCAATAACAGATTGAATCAAAAGCTGTATCTTTTAGATAGTATCTAAAAGTGTTCGTTACTCGGTTTAAATTAATCCAAAACATGCATTTTAAAAAAGAAGGTTTAGTATTGGAGCAAAATCATGTTTTCTTGCTTTGTTTCCCTAATAGCTGGAAGTATAACTGACCAATCTAAACTATTCAACCGCTCTGGAAATCCATCTGCAGTGCATTTGTTTGTCCAAGCAACACGTCCTGTTGCCAGATATTTAGCTTTCCACCACTTTGCCTTCCGATTGCAAAATTTGTGTGTGTGTGTGTGTGTGTGCCTCTCTGTGTGCGTGCAAGCTGTCATTTTGCTGACTGGCCTTGGAAGCTCTCTTTCAACAGCAGGCTCTCTTGGCGAGGGTCGCCATATTTGCTGTTGTTATCACTGTGTTTATGGGAGCTGGCCGCAGCGCATTGGCGTTCATATATGACAGTCAAAAGGGCCATAAACGCGGGGAGAGAGGCTGAAGTTTATGGTTGCCTCTCTCTGCCATAGTCCGGCCTTGCCTTGCGCATCCTTTACTGCGCGCTGGAATTCCGTCCCTAATTACGGGACATCCTCTCCGTTGCTGCGGCAACGCCGCCATAAAAGCTGTCTGAGAGTCTGGAGCATTTGTACAATTGGAGTGCAGTGCAATAAACTGTCTGAGACCCAAGGTTATTAACTGTGTTACCAAGGAGGCGACAGCAGCGATAGGAAGAGGACGGATTGGAAGAGCCTCCGCTAAAGCTGGCAGGGCCGACTTCATTTAGGAGGCTTTTTGCCCCTCGTGTGCTTTATCCACATCAGATCAGTTTAGTGCAGACTGGCCGTCCGGACGAATCGACGATCCATCCACCGGGCGGCGCTATTGGAACCAAAGTCATGGCCTTGGATCTTGTGGCCTCTGAGCTCACCGCAAATGAAAGCAGGTAAAGGCTGCCCGGGCAGCTGAGCTGGAATCATTTGCTCTGCAGCAAACACGTATTATCGCAAACCGTCAGAATCCTTTTTTTTTTTTTTTTTTAAAGGACGGATAAAACGATCTGTTTTGTGTTTAGCCTCCACGTTTCTTCCTGGTGCCCACCAGGTCGTGTGCGCGTGTTATAGAAAGTCTTCCAGAAGCCCTAATAAGGAAACACGTGTGCAAAGACTTGGTGCTGCATGTGCTATTCATTTTGCTGAGCTGGACCGTTTTAATGGTTTAAGTGCAGCATAGCTGGCTCGTACCTGGAGATTTCTGCCGTCCAGTCCGACCGCAAATGTTTTGGAGTTGGAGAATTGTTCTCCTCAACACAAAATGGATCCGGCCTAGCTGGGCGGTGTGCTGTGCGCAAACATAATGAATGTATACGTCAGTTAGTGCGGCTCATCTTGAGCACGTGTTTTGCTCATTCTTCTTCCTCTTCAAAGAACCCACTCAGGCACTCCCCAAACACATTAGTCTCGGTGCTTGCCAAGTAGTTATCAAAGAGTCTCTATTAATATGATCGATTTGATTGTGAAAGGGAAAGAATCGCTTCTCCCTTTCCTTCCTGCCAGGGAACTGAACTTTGCCTTTTCGGCGTGGGGTCGAGCGGTGATCGGCTGTTTCTGGTTGTAATGTGTGCGGCCAGAGCCTTCTCTCCTTTGTCTCTCGTGAAAAATAAATGCTTCCGCTGGATGTAATAAAACGCCGCATTATTGTTCATAACTGCACTCGGGACGAACATGATACGACTCAAACGGCCTCTTCAGCCACCATTAGATGGGCCTGATCAAAGCCAGTGGTCAGGGTAAAGTGTTTTCGGGATCTAATAGCCGGGCAGCTGTGAAAATGAAGATTTAATAGCTACAATTAATAACTGTAACACAAAGATATCGATAGGCTCTCCCGTTTTAGTTCAACATCATGGAGTGTGCAGGCCAAGCCAACTTAATACCCAACACACATTATTAATGAATGTATTTAGTTTCCTTTCTGGATCAAATGTCCCACAAAGAAGGGTCTCTCTGGTAAAAGTGCCAAGACTTTGGAGGTAATAGTTTTTCTATATTCATTAAGAAGACAATTGATTGAGCATTGCATGAATTAATCAAGCATGTTTTCGGTGAGTTTTGCTAACGGTTAGCACTGCTTTTTGTAAAAAATACGCACAGGAAAAACTCTTATCTTTCTTTCGATGCGTAATTTTTATATTATTTCTAAATAAACCACAAAAAAACTGTTTTTGGGGGGTTATTTTGTGACATTTTCCCTCTAGGTTATACAGCCGTCAGTTGACCTTCATCGTTAGGACGAGAATAAAAAACAGAAACTAATGCACACAAATGCGTTCCCAGGGATAAAAAGTAAAACTAACCCAATTTGCGAATTTCTTCCAAATTCCCTCTTTTCAGTGCAACAGGCTGCAAACGGAGCCGCAGGGGCGCCCAGCCACCTGGGCCTGGTAATGGCAAAGCTGGCCAAGAGCACACAGCAGAGCGCACATGTCCAAGGACACGACCAGATTGAAGGAGAATTTTATTGTGGCTCTTATTGCCCCAAATTGGAGCGACAGGATGTCTACCTTCACGTTGGATTTTCCAGGTCTGTTGAAACAATTCTCCTATACGCACTCTGTCATTATTATTATTATTATTATTATTTAAAAAGGAATCCAAATGTGTGTGCTGAGTTCGTCTATACATACACACACAGAAACACACATTGCCATATATATATATAGTTTGTATTGATATGAGGAAGACCGTTTTTACTGTCAGTAATACTTCTAGCCAATACGTAAATTAGGATATACATCAGACATTATAGTATTAAAAAATTAAGCTACTTAAAATCCACACAAGAAAATATATTTTCCTGCCAAACGCTCTTGTGAAATATAAGAATACATATTCAAAACACAGACCATAAAATGCATGGAAAAGGGCTTGGTTTCATTCCATTAAGTTAAGCAATGTAGGTTAATTTTTTTAAGGAATTTTATGTTCAAATCGGCGTTATCAAAGCGTAACAAGTACTGAATCACTTCTCTACTCGTTCATTCAACCGTTTAGTTCAATCTTTTCATACAGCTATTTCTCGCTAGTGTCTCTGGTGTGTTTTATTAGTGGCACATATTTTTTCCCCTTCACTTTTGGCGCTTGGGTACACATGGACACAGTTGTGCTTATCCTTTAATAACGTTGGATTTTGCATAATTCCGCATTTGTCCAAACCCAGAGACTTGATTACAGGATAACAGACGTAGCACAGGGATTTATATTAATGATTGCACAGATTTCCTTTGTCAAAAAAAGCCACAATAAGGACAGCTAAGGTATTTTTTCCTATAACCTTTGTGGACAGTCGTATTCAGACTTGCCTTTAGCATTAAAAGAGCCCAAATCTTCTTCAGGCTCAAGGGTGAACCATATAAAACGGCTTTTTGCCAGGTCATTTTGCCAAAGGCGAGTTTAGCCTCCCTGTTAAAAAGATTTTACTACCCAGGTCTCCCGTGGCTTTGTTATTTTATGTCTTTGTTGGTGGGTTAGAGCAGCTTTACACTTTTTAAACTTGATTTTTCACTTTTAGCTCCCATCATTCCACCGTAAAGCGGCGTTTCAGTACGTTCATGGCCACAATAGATTTTTATTTTACGCTTCCCTTTTTTGTTTACGTTTTTGCTCTGATGGCTGTTATCACTTTAGATTCTTGATACACAAAATCTTAGATTATTTTCCCATTTGCTGCAGTCTTGAGCTTTATTTGACCACGTGGTGCAATCAGCTTTTCCATTGATGAAATATTTCTGTCAATGAATCGCACTCGTCTTTAATATAAATATGTATTTTAAATCTTTGAACTGTGCTAGACCTCGCCCCTACAGGGTGGTGAGGGAGGTGAGGGAACACACTGATTGCTGGGCTGTCTTCTTTTCTCTGCCTTAACTCCATGATGGATCTCGTTTGGACGGCTACGTAGCCCAGGAGTGGGAGGGACCCGGCCGCCTTCCAGCGTTTCCATTGGTCTCGCGGTCCGCTCGGCGGAGAGGGGGGGGTGCCTCTAATCATATCCAGCATGTTTTGCACAAGAAATGTCAGCCAGAAAGGGCTATCTTCTCCCTTCGCCAAAATACACCACAATAATGTCATGTTCGGACAGCCCGTCAGGAAACGCGTTTTTAGTGGACTCGCTGATCAGCGGGCGCCCGGAGAACGGCGGGGGGCACTACGCGGGCAGCGCGGTGTGCGTGCCTCACGGCGCCGCGGCAGAAGTGCCTTACGGACTACACAACTATGGATACTTCCCGGGCATGGCTAAGCGGAGCGAGCTGGGCCACCAGAACCTCGTCTCCGCCTCGGGCGCGTACATGTCCAGCATGGAGATGTGGATGGACGCGCAGAGGTCATGTCGAATGGACCAAGAGCAGCCGGTGGGCTCCCAGGTCGCACCCTGCTCCTTCCCGCAGAACATCAAGGAGGAGAGCACCTACTGCCTGTACGAGCAGCCCAAGTGCCCCAAAGCCTCCACCGCCGAAGACCTCACATATTCAAGGTTGACCACAGCCGGCCTCGGGTCGAGTTCTTGTACAGTCACCGATGGCGGCGGCGGCGGCGGTGGCGGGGGCTCAGTGCCTGTGCCGGGCTACTTCCGCTTGTCTCAGACGCACGCACATTCTCATAAACTTTACAACACCAACGGCCCCCAGTCGAACCCTTCCCATTCTCATTTTGGCATACACCCCACCGCTCCCG